GACATCTGTGTCAAAACCAATGAAGCATAAAATGAACTAAAGATAACCTTTTCAATCCCATCAATACTGCCTCCTAAATACCAGAATCTTTTAAAATGGATGTTTCACTGCACATTTAATCTATATTTCTGTTAAAATTACTATATGAGCTTTTGTGCATGCTCTTTCTTTGTTCTAGTTTCTTTTATAAAATTCTAAATGACTCACCAAGTAGAATTAATATAAAGACAGAATGATCTAGAATACTATTGTATGAGAAAAACAATTTCTAAACTTATGACAGACCAGAAAAGTCGAATAGGCTTGAAGAATGAAGGGTTTACCTTTAATGAGGTAAGTGACTGCTTCCTGGGGGTTAAGTAGAACAGGGAGTCAATGTTCAACTTGTAGAAAGGGACTTTATTTAACTAGAACCATTACAGGACAGACAGTTTGCAAATTCTGTGGTGGGAATTTGCATTACTGTTCAAAGAAAGCACTGACTCCTTCATACCTCTGAATGTCTGGCTCCTCATGGAAATCCCAGTTTTCCCTAAGAAAGGTAAGCTCACTCTACATGTAAGTTTCCTGTAGTGAAGTCATTTGACAAAATAATGAATCTTTATAGAGAAGCTGAGATAGATGAAAATACCTTTCTTTTTCTTTTTCTTTTCTTTTCTTTTTTTCTTTTCTTTTTCTTTCTTTTTTTTTTTTTTTTTTTTGAGACAGAGTCTAGCTCTGTTATCCAGGTTGGAGTGCAGTGGTGTAATCTTAGCTCATTACAACCTCCACCTCCTGGGTTCAAGTGATTCTCCTGCCTTAGCCTCCCTAATAGCTGAGATTACAAGTGCCCGGCACCATGCCTGGCTAATTTTTATATTTTTAGTAGAAACGGGGTTTCATCATGTTGGCCAGGCTGGCCTCGAACTCCTGACCTCAAATGATTTGCCAGCCTCAGCCTCCCAAAGTGGTGGGATTACAGGCGTAAGCCAGCACACCTGACCAAAATAAATTATTTTAATACTTATCTTTCCTTAAAGAGTTTTGTTCCCTTTCTGTATTCATAGATGCACAGGTATTATAGAATTCTTGAGGTAGAAAGATTTCCTGGAGAAAATGAGAGAAGCTAGCTTTGTTCAGTGAGTTGTCAGAGGCCCCAGAGCTAGTTTGCCAGCAAAACCAGAGCTTCTTTTTCATCTTGTAAATTAAACAAAAACTTTCTACCCAAAATGTAAGGTACTTTATAGATTTACATTTCAGACATTAGTTTGATTTTAAGGAATAACAATCAAAGACAGAGAGTTCACACTATTTTTCCTAGTCTGCTAGACAGTGTCTGCAAACAAGAAAATAGACCTCCACTGCATTTCCATTGATTAGATAAATGAATGATGTCCCAACGCCTGTCTCACTCTCACACAAACCCCTTGCTGGCTCCTTGCCTGGTATGCTCATTTCCTCACTGTCTCCTAAACCCTGAACACTCTTACAAGCTAGTGATCAAAGCTCAAAAAGTGGATTGGTTTTGAGGACCAATGGTGAGGAAGGAAGGGAGAAAGGAAGACCAAAATAAAGCAGTCAATTTTTTTGGAAATTTAAAGCCATAGATAAAATTGAGGTCAGTAAAAATGAGGGACATTAAAAAACATATTTACCACTAATTTTCTAAGTCTGTTTATATACCAAAAGTCACTGCTATTTTAAAACATAAAATATGTAAAATATGAAGACCTAGCAAAAAAAATTTAAGATGTGGAAATGTCCCGAAACGATGAGAGACAAAGCTTTTCCCCCCTCTCTTTTGAGTTGGGTCTGCTTTCCTTATCTTCTTACCTTTAGCCCCAAGTTCAAATCAAATGTGAACAGTTCCCTGGGTTCCCACAGAGGGGCAGCAGCACACGAGGCCCAGGAGATGGTTAGGGCAGGCTCTGGCCCCCGCCCATAGAACATTCTCTGATTTACACTGACAGACTCACCACGCGAATGTTAGAGCCCTCCTCCGTTGGCACCACCCCGAGCTGAGACTCCACGTCCTCCACACCTAGGCCTTCACTGCTTCTAGAAAGCTGGCTGGACTCATTCGCACAAGGTTAGGTCACTAGACCTAAAGTCCTGAGGGTCTTTCTCCCACTCTCTCGACCAGAAGAATTAGGAGTACAGTACAGACCACCAGGCCTCAGGAAATGTAGGGTTACTTCCAAGGAAATCTTGCCAGTTGGAAAGACAGTGAAAGAAGGCAGAGAGAGTCCTGGCCTTGGGGTAGACAACTTGAGGGCTGGGCCCGAGCTGCTTCGTCCTAGTCCCATGGAGTTGCTTACCATCCGCAAGCATCTGTCCCTTCACCAGTGAAGTGGGATGATAATAACATACATCCTTGCAGAATTTTGAGATTTTCACAAGAGGAAATAATGCAATGGAAGCCGTCCAGGTCACAGAACGCTCTGATTATTTATACTAAAGCCTAGTCATAGAATAAACTAAGAACCAACCAATGAAGATTTGTTCTTTGTTCCTTATAATACTTGGAAAGACGCAAGCCAACAGTTTTTACTCTGGAGCCTGTCATGTTTCATCGTTGAGAGAATAAATTGAGCCATTTCAAATCCTGCAAAGAAGAAAGTTTACTCTTCAGATCCAGGATTTTCCAAGTTGATACTAGGACCTCAACTCTACTGTACATGTGTAGGAATGGAGTTTCCTTCCCTGCAACCGACGTTTCCCTTTAATAAACATAACTGAGCACATTTTCCCTGAGTTCATCGACTGAAAGCTTCCACTGTGGGGGATTGATGGTGTTAGCATCCACAGTGGTCAAGAAGATATTATATTTTAATCAGCTTTTTGATACTTTGCTACAACTCATATAGCTACATTCCAAAACATGAAAGGATTGAGTAATTCTCACACACTCATCTTTCAAGTCTAGATAGCACTTTAATCTGTCCAGGGCTGGACAGATGGAAAAACTATTGTGTTGCTTTGTCTAACACCCAACCCTGGGCAGGGGTTCTCTGGTTAGTGGTAGCCATAGCGCACCCACAGGATCTGAGGGGGCTAATTTCCCAACTCCCCTCTCTCCCCATGGCAGAGGGAATCACACAGTATGACCACATCTGACTCCATGGGTTCCCTGGTCCTCCCTGATGTGTCATTGATTTGGCTTCTCCTCTTTTCTCCCTTAGGACTACTGAGATCCCCTTTCGCTTTAGCCCACAAATCTCCACCACAGTGTGAGGCAGGGGACGTCATCAGTGTTTTCATGATGGAAAAACTGAGCCTCAGAGAGCTCTGGCGGCTTGCTCTGAACAAGGACTTGGACTTGGGGCTTCTAACTTTTTAGCCAGGAATCCTGCAACCTTTAACTCAGACCAAGCAGATGTCGGGGGCCCATTTGCAGAGGGGTCTGAATAAGGCAGACAAGGGTGAGATCCACACACTTGGACCAATTCCCAAAGTGCCTCTCCCCAGAGAAATGGCAACAGCTCTGAGGCTTCAGCTTATCCCCGGAAGGCGGGAGGGGAGAGTGGGAAAAGATGGGCTTTTCAAGTCATCAGGCCAGCATTGAAGTACACAAACAATGACTGGGTGACCCCACGTACAGAGATGGGCTCTGACGCAGGGGTTTGTCATTCCTCCTAAATCCCGGTAGGAAATAAGAGATGCAAGAATTAGGATGGAATGTAAACTATTTCTTAAGGAAGAATGCTAGCATCTCTTCCTCCAAGAGTGCTACTCTGGAGAGAACTTTCTCCCCGATTCTTAACTGTGGTTATGCAAGCCCTTGTTAGAAAAGGGAAGGAAGGGTGCCATGAGAAGCCTGTAGGAGAGGGCATGGTGTTCAGATGAAGCGGCACCCCCTCCAAGCCCATGAGAGGCCCCCGCCAGATGCTGTGAATTTCATTCATTTCTTCTGTGACTTCCCTGAGATTCCTCTCCATGCTAACCCTCAACACTCCAATGACCCCCTCTTCCTTCCATCTCATCCCACCACCCTCCACACCCTTCCTCCCCTCCACCCTCATGCTCACACCCATGCAAAGGATAGCCAGATGTCCACACTGTGAGAAAAGAAAGCTGAATGCATAATTTTAACTTTTGTCCACCCATTTTGAGAACAGTGCACCTGAGCTGGGGGGAGAGGGTGGGTTGCAGACACCAGCACGACGGGAAGGCGGGGCCAGAAGTGAGGAACATGAGATGCTAACAAGGGCAGGCAAGGCCGTGATCAGAGGCAGAGCCCATAGAGCTGGAAACAGGAGCCCACAAAGCTGGAAAAGACCCTGGAGGCCACACAGGGCTGCCCTCCTCTTCCAGATGTGGAACGGAGGCTCCTGTCCTAGGCTGCACATCCATTGGGTGGTGGTGGTCTAGGTATGTTTGGGAGATGGGAGGTAGCTAAGAGCCCTAGAAAGTCAGGTGTTCATGGATGACAGTAGGGTGTGGCTGAGTTCCAAGGCTGTGCTCCAGTTCTGGAAACCTCCACAGCTCCCTGAAGCCTCCCGCATCGTTCCCAATGCCCATTCTGGAGAACAGACTTTGCTTTCGCCCTTGTCTTTCTGCAAGGATGGGGAGGATATTTGCCCAGTCACGTCTCCATCCCCTCCTCTGAAACTGGAGCTGTGGAGCTCTATTTCTCAAAGTGGTTAAGAGGAGTAACGGGATGTGAGAAAATGCCTAGCACATCACAGGGCCCAATAAATGTCTGGGTACCTCCTTTGTCCTTCCTTCTGGTGTTCCCCCATAAAGTATGCCTGACTTTTCTTCTCCCATCTTTGGCAGAAATCTTGGGAAATAGTTGATCCTTGCCTCCTTCCAAACAAAATGTTTCCGGCCTGGAAGGTGGCAGAGGACAGAGTCAACGCCAGGCCTGGGAAGGCTGCGGCTCGTGGGTACCTCTGCTGTCAAGGTGTGGCCCATTCAAGCACAGGAGAGAACCAATGCCAGAAATTGGGGGCCAGGGTGGCATGTCTGTCCCCTGGCCCCCTTTTCTCTGCTGGGTTTCAGGCCATGCGAGTTCTTACCTTGAGAGGCAGAGTGGCAGGCGGGGCTGGGCAGCCCTTGCTGGTGTGCACGGCTGGACAGTACCTGTAGAGCCATGCCCTTGTTGCCTGCACTGTGGGACCTGTGGCCTCCTTACAGCTCCCGGGGAGTATTTGGCAGGTCTCAGCACCTCTCCTCAGCACATTCTTTTCCTCTCCATCTGCAGTGTGGACCAGGACAGTCCTTGGAGGGAAGCATCCCAAGTTATCCGTGCAACGGGGGTCCATGCCCCACAGGTCCTGGGTGGCAGAAGTGACTGGCCAGTGCTTCCAGCCCATGGAGGGACTGCTGCTTTCATCACTCATGACGGGAGCTGGGCTAGGAAGCCTCCATGCCTGGGGCTGTAGCCAGCCCAGCGTCTTGGAGGCAGGGGCCTGGCAACGCCTGTAATGTGGGGATCTGTAATCGCCACCCCTCCTTACATCCGGATCCTGGGATTTTTTCCTCCCTTCCTTATTTTCCCTTGGAGCAGAGCAAGTGAAAGCAGCTGGTTCCTCCGTCTCAGGGCCTGCCTTCTGCAGCAGCCTCAAAGGAGGGGCAGCTGAGCCCTGTGTGCGCCTGAGGTCCCGGCCTGCCAAGAAGCCTGTCCTGGGACTTGGGAAACTGTGTCCCTCCTCCAGGCCCCCTGGGGTTGCCGCTGGAGACGGGGCGGGGAGAGCGCAGGCTGGAGGAGCCCGCAGCTGGATGAAGAGGAAGGAAGTTTTCATCTGCTGCTGCTGAAACTGCCCAGCCATTTCCTCCAGGGGGGTCGGGCTGGTCCCTGCCAGGGTGGAGTTTCAGGCCTCAGTGCCCAGGGATGCGAACAGCAGCAGCTGTGGGCAGACGTGACTCAGCCCCATGGTTCCACTGACAGCCTGAGGAAGCAAACAACATGTCTTCAGCACTGGGGGAGTCTTAAACTAGGGGGGTCAGATAATGATTGTGGGCATGGAGCTGGACTCTACGCCTATATCGCAGAATCAGAAAAAAATAGTAGTGGAGAATAATCTACAAGTGAGGGATGGCAGTGAGGACAGCCAAGACAACCCCTCTCACCTTTGTTTTCACTTTTGTTGAGACAGAGTCTGGCTCTGTTGAGTGCAGTGGCATGATCTCAGCTCAATGCAACCTCCACCTCCCAGATTCTAGTGATTCTCCTGCCTCAGCCTCCCGAAGAGCTGGGATTACAGGCACCCGCCACCACGCCCAGCCAATTTTTGTATTTTTTAAGTAGAGACGGGCTTTTGCCATGTTGGCCAGGCTGGTCTTGAACTCCTGACCTCAGGTGATCCATCCGCCCCACCTGGGCCTCCCAAAGTGCTGGGATTACAGGTGTGAGCCATCACGGTCGGCTCCCTCTTGCTTTTGGGTATCTAAATGGAATCACTTTCTCTTCACTGCCTCCTTCCTCCTATTTGAAATGAAAACACTATTCATTTCAGAGTTTAATCCTAAATTCTGTGTTAGCTATTCTTGTGATTTGGTGACTGACCTGTGAGACACTGCTTTATAAATGAAGCCTCCAATAAACTTTGAAGTGTATTTTTCATCTACTTTGTTTGCATTATTTTTACTAAATACTTTTAAGCCTCTAGGATAAAGTGTACAACAGACAGTTGTAAGCAACTTTAATATTGTCATGAATTTGCGCTTTAAATCCTGTGGTCATTTATGGGTTCTCTAGGAGAGGTCTCACATCAAAATACTTGGTGTCATAGTTTGTGTCCCCTCCAAAATTCTGGTGCTGTGATAGTAGGAAGAGGGGGGTGGCATTTCAGAGGCAATCGGATCCCGAATGTGCTTCCTTCATGAATGGGATTAAGACCCTTATAAAAGAATCTTCACACAGCTGTTGAGCAGTAGGTTGCCCTTCTGCTTTCCACCCAATGAGGACACAGTATTCCTCCCCTCCAGAGGACATAATCCTCACCAGACAAAACACCAGGTGCCTTGATCTTGTACTTCCCGGTCCCCAGAACTGTGAGAAACCAAATTTCACTTCTTTATAAATTACCCAGTCTATGGCATTTTCTTAGAGCAGCATGAAAGAAACTTAGTATTAACTCACTCTCCAAAATGAAAAGAAAGTGGTATTTTGTTGCAGCTGTGCAGAAGACACTTAGCGTCAAAGAAAGAGAGAGAGAGAGAAAAGAAGAAAGAAGGAAGGAAGGAGGGAAGAAAGAAGGAAGAAAGGAAGGAAGGAAAAAAGAAAGAGGAAGGAAGGAAGAAAAAGAAAGAGAGAGACATAGAAAGAAAGATGGAAAGAAAGGAAGAAAAAGAAAGAAAAAAATTAAGAAAAAAGAAAAACATAAGAGAGAAAAAAAAAAAATTAAAAAAAAAAAAAAAAACCCAGGTAACAAGTCAGGCTGGAAGGGCTTTTTGTTGTTGTTGTTGTTTTTAAATATAATTTAGCCCATCCTAATTAGAGAGAAGAAAAAAATAATCTAAACCTTTTAACTTGTGAGAACATGGTAGTGCTTTTTAAAAACGGAGATCATTTCTTTCTAGCAAATTGTAACAGGTAATTGAAAAGCATAATAAATAAAAAATGAGACAAAAGGAAGAAGAAAAGAAATCACCTTAAAATTCAGTTGAGTCACTCACATTCATGGTATTTCTATAGGCTCAGTACCTCTCAGAGGGAAAGGAACCTTTCTGAGTCATGCTGACCTTGTACCTGAGGAGGAAAGAAGGCAGGTGTGAGAAAGCTCCAGTCTTCATCAATGTGAAATAACTTGACTAAAAGGGAACCAGGAAATCATCCTCCAAAACAAAGTGAGCATGTGGTATAGAACTTCCTTGCTCTGCATGCAGCATCGTGTCAAGTCTGGGTGAATTCTCCCTCCCTGACTCCTCAGCATCCTCACACATGGGCAGCACCCCTGGGGCATCAGGGGCCACTGGCCCTGGCTGACCATGGCTGGCCAGGCTGAATCCTTGGAAATTCTCAGGATGCCAGGATGCCCGGTTGGAGTCTTCTGATAGTTTTCCTTGTTAAACATCTTCACACAGTTTTTTCACCAAAGGTTAAGGAGGTTTTGCTCACGTTTCCAGATAGCTGGCAAGTGACTCAATCTACATCTCATTTAGAAATGTGCTCAAATCTGTTTAGGCCAGGCACAGGCTGCTATAATCCTTTTTATCACAAATACCAGTACAAAATTTTGACACAATCATATATGTCCAAGTGTAATTGTATGTTGATCTCATTACATTAATGTTCATAAAACATTTTACTTAAGTGATGTCCAGTCCTCTATAGGTAATTTTCACACTCTCTTATACAAGAACTTGTCTGAACATTGCGATCACTCTACAAACAGTACTGTGTGTTGACTGATTAACTGCCAACAACATAGGAAGCTGTGTCTTCATATGGAACAGGAATTTGGGTGAGAAGAAACCATCATTTTGTTTTAGCTTCCGAAGGTGCCAACCATGATGTCAGGTGCTTTGCACAGTGTATTTCATTCAAGACACAGCACAATCCTGTGAAGTAGGTGGCATCATTTCTATGTTGCAGTTAAGGAATGTGAAGCTCAGAGAAGGCACAACTGCCCCAAGTAGGCAGGGGCTTTAAAGAGCTATCGGATGAGAAGTTTCACTCCTTCACCTCTTTCCATTTCAAACATCCAACTTCTAAACCAAATGAAGTAAAGTACCAAGGAAACCATGGTGGTTCGGGTAGCATGTCCAGGGCACTTCTCTCTTCTTTTTATTTGTAAGCTCACCACAGTGGGGATTACTGCCCAACATTTCATTTCTGGGTTGTGCGGGCTGAAATAGGAGAAGGGTAAAGAAATGGTGGATGACACTTGAGAGCTGACAGGAGTGCTGACTTGGCGGATTCATGTAAGACATTGCCTTGGGACACCCTTAAGTATGAGGAGGCACATTTAGGGGATGGGAGTTCTGTATGAGATGTTAGGGAAAGTGCAGAGAAACACGAGTAAACAGCACAGTGATTTGAGAGCATAGACTTTGGTGCCATGCAGACATTTCTCAGCCCTACTTCCACTGTGTGGCCATGTGACCTTAGGCAAGTGTATCAGTCTGTTCTCACGCTGCTGATAAAGACATACTAGAGACTCAGTAATTTATAAAGGAAAGAGGTTTAATTGACTCACAGTTCTAGAGGACTGGGGAGGCCTCATGAAACTTACAATTATGGCAGAAGGGAAAGTAAACATGTCCTTCACATAGTGGCAGCAAGGAGAAGTGCAGAGCAAAGAAGGGAAAAGCCTCTTATAACACCATCAGATCTTGTGAGGACTCACTCAATATCATGAGAACAGCATGGAGGCAGACCTCCGCCCACGATTCAGTTACTTCCCATTGGGTCTCTCCTGTGACACGTGGGGGATTATGGGAACTACAATTCAAGATGAGATTTGGGTGGGGACACAGCCAAACCATATCAACAATTTACTTGGCCTTTTTGACAATCAGGTCCTCTTCTCTAAGATGACGTAATGATAACTACTTCCTTTTTAATAATAGCCATTCTGACTTGTGTGTGATGGTATCTTATTGTGGCTTTGATTTGCATTTCTTTAATGATCTGTGATGTTGAGCTTTTTTCATATAGTTGTTGATCACATGGGTGTCTTCTTTTGAAATGTGTTCATATACTAACATAAGAACAGAAAATCAAATACTGCATGTTCTTGCTCGTAAGTAGAAGCTAAGTGACGAGAACACATGAGCACATAGAGGGGAACAACACACACTGGGGCCTATTGGAGAGTGGAAAGTGGGAGGAGGGAGAGGATCGGGAAGAATAACTATTGGGTATAGGCTTAATACTGGCTGACAAAATAATCTGTACAACAAATCCCCAGGACACAAGTTTACCTACATAACAAACCTGTACATGTACTCCTGAACTTAAAAGTTTTAAAAAAAATAACTACTTTCAAGGGCTGTTGTGAAAATTAAGTGTAGGTGCAAAAGGCTTCCTTAGCATAGTGCCTGCTACCTAATCGGTTCTGTATAATAAATGTTAGTTACTTTTAGAATTGAGACCCACCTGTTATCCTGGAGAAAATTTGTTCACCCAACAGAACAATTTGAGTTGTTTCATGAAATATATAATTTTTTTTAACCAGCAACAGGTAATTACATGCATGTTTTTATGCTTCCTGTCTGATGGAAAAGCACCTAAGAGCTGAGGAATTAATTGGGATGTGGGAGGGTCAGCAATGGATTTGGGGTCAGGGGAAACGGGTTTGAGTTCTGGAGTAACTAATCATTAGCTGTGACTCACAGCAGGTTTGAACCTCAGTGGACATTGTTTTAACACAATGAAGTAAGTTTCTGCCCTTCCTACTTTATGGAATTGTTTTGCAGGTCAAATGGGATAATCTATGTAGGAATACTTTATACACATAAAACCGATATAAGGTCACACACCACATGACATTTTGGCTAGTGATAGGTGGTCCCATAAGATAATAACGGAGCTGAAAAATTCCTATCATCTAGTGATGTCATCACTGTCATAATGTCATAGCACAGTGCATCACTGATGATGCTGGTATAAACAAACCACTATGCTGCCAGGCACATACAATTATGTATAGTATGTAATACTTGATAATAAATGACTAAGTTACTGGTTTATGTATTTACTATTTTATCATGATTTTAGAGTGTACTCCTTCTACCTATAAAAAAAGTTGGCCAGGCATGGTGGCTCACACCTGTAATCTCAGCACTTTGGGAGGCCGAGGTGGGCGGATCATTTGAGGTCAAGAGTTTGAGGCCAGCC